AAAATCAGTGCAGCAGGACAACGGCTATGCTATATCAGTCAAGTAATATTTACATTCCATATTTGTGTACATAATTATAGGCACCAGATATGTTTCTGCATTTGTATATATATCAGTTTCTTGTACAGAATGAATCAAGGCAATACAATTGAGTATTTTCCAATACACCATCCTCTTCTTCTTTATTTCCACAACAATATATGCCTTGGGGGCTCACTCAAATATTTGGCTATCAACAATGGAGATAATTACGGGAAGGCATCCAGGTGATCTTATTTCAGAGCTATGGACACCAAATGGCCAGCAGATGTTGCTGAAAGATGTCATAGACCAATGCTTTAAACCTCAAAGGAGGAATAAGGAGGCTGAGCAATTGGTTGCTACCACAAAGCTAGCATTTACATGTTTGCATTCCAATCCTCAATTTCGGCCCACTATGCAGCAGGTTTATCAGGCTCTTACAAGCGGTCGACCATCTCCATTGCCAAAGTCATATTCAACAATAAGTCTAGGAGATTTGATTGGAGATGGACATGGGATGCGGGGCTGAGTTTTTTGGATATTCATCATAATTTTAGGTATGTCTCGTGTGCATTATTTATCTTTTCTAGTCTACCTTCTCTCTGAATAAAAATAATTTCCATAATTTGTTTTCTTCTCTTCGTGATAGACTTCTGAATATATTTTCTTTGCTTCTATTGACGCTATTTTGTTAGCACAATGGAATATTATGTATTGACATGACAGGCTGCGAGATCTAATAAAAAGCTTGAAGAAATGTGAATGTGTTATCAGATTCTATCTACATTCAACTGAAAGATGAATGAGACTACTTTTTTCTATAAACTAACTAGGAATGTAGTTAAGCTGTGCACTGCTTACCATGTGTCATAACTCAAAATTTTTTTTAAAAAATTTTATTTTATTTTAGTTTTTATCTTAATTAATCTGTTTGATTTTACTTTCATTTTTAGGTTTGCAAGCAAAAGGAAATTTCACGGAAAAGTGGGAGAAGAAGAAACAAGGGACTCAATTGAAGAAATCAAAAGTTTGGGGATGAAATCCTTTAAGCTATAAATCTAGTCCATTTCTCGAACCCATCTCAAATGACCCAATTCCATTAAAACCAAACCCAACCTAACACCAACCCATTTCAATTTAAAAGACTTAGACCCAATATTAAGCCCATCAAAAATCAGCCCAAACCCAATTTCTTATCTCTTAAAAAAGGGAAAGGAACGGACAGAAAAAAAAAAAAGAAAAAAAAAACCTGCAGAGACAAAAGGGAAACAAAACAAAAAAAGATAGATCCTGCGCCCTGCTGCTGCCTGCGCCCCCTGCTACTGCCGGCGCCCCTGCTGCTGCAGCCGACTCTGCCCCCTTGCTGCCTGCGCCCTTTTGCTGCTGCGGCCGACTCCGCCTCCCTTCTCCTGCACCCCTCGAGCCTACAGCAGCCTGCAGCCCCTTCTCTGCGCCGCCCCTCTTCTGCAACCAGATCCTGCAGCTGCAAAGATAGATCTTGCGCCTATGTTGCAGCCAACTGAACATGATGGCAG